CTAGCGCGCGGGTCCGGCTGAGACCTCCGGGCTCGGCAGCCTCCGCCCCGCCCTCCCGTCCAGGGCGCGCCCCCAGCGATGCCCCTCGCCCTGTCCAGCTCGGCCATACTGGCAGCCTCCACAAGGTGAAGGGCCCCTCCTGGCTCCAGCAGCACCCATAGAAAAAGACCATAGTGGTTCTTTTCTGCCTGTGAGCCTCTTGTGGGCAGTCGGGGTGGGGTGGGTGCATTTTTCACTGTCTCCCAAGGGCCTCGCACTGGGCCGGGTCCTGAGCACCGTCTGCAGACCAGGGCGCTTTCTGCTTGTGGGCAGTGAGTGCCGGGCTCCTCAGTGCTGGTTGAGCGTCCCTCTGGAAGGGAGAAGGGAGAGACATCTCCCACACCGAGGGGCCCGAGAGAGAAAGGCAGCTAGATCCAGCAACAGGGGTACCCAGGACCACAAGAGCAGACCTCACTGGGCACAGGGAATCTGTGTAGATGTGTATCTGCGGGGAATGGGGAGGGGCAGGACTGGTCCAGATAGTCAGAGAGGCACAGGGAGAGGCCTCCACAATGAAATAGCCTCTCCTGGGCTCCCAGACCCCAGGTCCCAGCTATTCACTGCCAGCAAGTGGCCTGTCATTCATCAACAGATAGCTCTGATCTGTGGTCACGGCACGGGTCCACTTCCAGCTCCCAACCTCAAAACTGCCATGTTCCTCACTCCCAGGAGGCCCACTCTCCCTGCAGCTCTGAGGCATCTCAGCACGTGGCCAACCACAGGGGCCAGTCAAGTTCTAGCATCCCAGGAAGCCCAGGCCACAGCCTTGGGTTCAGCAGAAAGGCCTGTCCCTGCAGTGGGGAGCCGGCTTTCCTATTTTCTTTAGGAGGCCACTCAGCTACTCTGTGGTGGTTTACAGACCCTCATGGAGCTAATGCACAGATGCCCTGTCTCCTGCAAAGTCCAGACTGGAACTCTTACCCACCACCGTACAGGTGAGGGAGGGGAAGCCCAGGAGAGAGAGCTGCCACTCGGTGGGCAGCAGAAGCAGTGACTTCTGCATGGAAGCAGCCCCTGCCGTGGCCAGCACCTGACTCCGGCACTCCTGCCCATTGGTTGAAGGCCCCATCTCACAGTTACCGTGAGAGCTAGTGGGAGAACACTCACACGTGCTCAGAGGAGATATGTTGTTATCACCAGTGGAGCTCCTGGGAACGTCCCCAGCTGTACACCAGCCAGCACTCATCTTTGCTGAACTGCCTGGCCTGGCCCCGGATTCTCAGTTCCAGTGCTATGTGGGTCACAAGTGTGCTGATCACAGGCTCCCATATGCTCTAGCAGGCCCCAGAGCTGGTGGGACATGGAGGGAGGAGGCACCAGGCTGGAGACCACAGACAGGGGCGTGGTTTAAAGGAGAAAATCCTCCTTCTACAGACGTGCATATCTTCACATTCCTACAGGGGATGCAGGTGTATTTCTAAAGCAGGGATTTTTGTTGTTGCTTCACCTTGCTTTGTTCTGGAATAAGATACCTTAATCCTAAAATACATACAGAAAAATAAAAAATTGAAATAGCCAGAAAAGCTCGAAAAAAGAAGAATGATGTGAGGGAACTGGGCCACGAGGCAGTCCACACACTGTTGTCCAAGTGATGGCTGGCTGTGGAGCACAGCGTGAACGCTGGAACTAGATTCTAAGACCGTGGGAACTACTTAGCGGAAAGTGACATCTAAGACAGGCTAGAGGGACAGGGTCCAAAAAATGTCTGAGGACAACTAGGTAAAAACTGGTCCGTGCTCCACACCTGAAAGAAGGATAAATTCTGAATGGATCAAAGATTTAAACGTGAAAAGTGAAACTAGATATTCTAGGAGAAAACACAGCAACATTTCTTTATAATGCTAGAAGTTCTTTCTATGAATCAAAATCCAGAAGCCATAAGTGAAAAGAGTGATAAATCTGACTGTAAAATACATCTCCATGGGCAAAGTCACCATAAGGAAAGGCAAAAAATAACACCAAGAAAGTGCTAATCTCCAATACAGGGCGATTAAATGAAGACAGAACACCCAACAGAAAAATGGGCGGGGGCTATAACTGACCGTTCCTAAACAGGTGGTGCAATGACTCTCAAACATCCAGAAGGATGTTCAACCTTGCCCATCAGGAGACAAATACAAATGGAACACCACGGACATCCTACTTTTTACCTATCAGGGAGCTGAGAATGTGGGAATAGGCAGGCCCACATTCTGCTGACGGAAACACAAAGTGCCACAAGCTTTTTGCCGGAGGGCAACTTGGCCATAACTGTCAAAATGACAAATGTGTGTATCTTTTGAACTCACAAATCAATTTGGGGAAGCTACCCTATGAAATGGGATATGTGCCTGGTTATTCAGTGCAGCTAAAGCCCCCAAACAACTCCTGCCCTTCCATAGGGGCCAGTTAGAATAAAGTAACAGAATCCTATGAAGGAGTGGGATGGGTTCTTCCTGAACGGAGACAGAAAGGTCTCTCAGAAAGTGTTGAGTGAGAAAAGCAAGGTTCTGAGCAGAAGGCGTGGGGGCAGGACAAGTATCAAGTGCGCATGCGTATCTGCTTCTACCTGCAGAGAAGTTCAGGGAGGGCATCGGAGAAAGGAGTGGAGGTCGCCTGGGGGCAGAGAGCTGGGCAAGGAGGCAAAGGAGGATTTGGAGAACTTTCCTTGGAAAACTACTTAAAACCCCTCGGATTTTGAAACACAGTGTATTTGCCTACTCAAAAAATTAAAAACAAAAATCCATAACAAACGAGGAAATGGTAGCCACGAATAACACAGATTTAAAGGCGGGTGTTAAAGGAACAATACCGCGCACTCCCATCCCGTCCTGGCCTCGCACATTCCCCAGCACAATCCAATACCACCCCCAGGAGATACCACCCCATAAGCACCCCTTAGACCTAGCAGGGGGGCAGTCCTTCAGGTATGAGAAACTCAAAAACAGCAATTAAGTCCAATCTACCTTTCCAGAAGGAGTTCCCAGGGCAGGACTCCAAGGCTCCAGAGCCCCTGGGTCACCCTGCAAATGCTTCTGTTGGAGGGCGCTCCCTGATAATGGGTTAGACAGACCCAGCCTCACTTAAAAGACCACGGTGAAGCATTTCAACAGCCGCAGACACAGGGCTGTAATTATGTCCTGGAGGCCCTTCCAGGCTCCCGAATACCATGCTCCTGTCATAAAAGTCGCTCTGTCCACTCTCCCTCAACTGACTGACCATTGAGAACCAGCCTGGGCGATTAGGGCAGGAGCTGGCTGCCACCCTCCCTCCCCTCACCAACCCAGGAGAGTTCTGCAGTCAGAACATGGACCCCAAGTTCCAGGCGGGAGACTCACTGTCCTCTGCCAGGGCTGGGGGGAGGGGTGGGAACTGGGGGGTACTGTGCAGGCTTCTGGGAAAGGGTTTTCTCTTGGACCAAAAAAAGAAATGACGGGGCAAGGCGTGGGCGGGGCAGGGGAAGCGTGCACAGGATGGAAGAGCCTCTGGGGAGCCACGGGGCTATGACGTCCGGGGTGGCACCCGTCACCATCACCGGCAGCACACACACAGGTCCGCAGGGACTCCCGCAGGAGCCAGGCTGCTCCATGAGGCTGACGATCCCTCAGCCCACCTTACCCGCTCACACCAGCCCTGCCCCAAAGAAACCAAGCTCCCAAGGTCAACCAGGGGAGAGGGCACTCAGGCAGAGCACAAGGTTCCAGTTCCGGTCCCGCTGCCACCACCACCTGGCTTGGCCCCAGGCTCTCTGGGCCCCTCTCCATGGAGCCTTCAGGAACCACTCTGGTCCCACTTCCTCTTCCTGTGTCTCCCCCTCCCTGGGCCCTCCAGTCCTCTCTCCTGTCCTCTCCCTAGGCCCCCTGGGTGGGTCTGGCCATCAGGGTCCTGCCCGCCACAGCCATACAGCTTTACAGGTGCTGGGTTCACTTTCTTTTCTTCCATTTTCTTTCAGGGATGGGGAGGATATTTATTTATTAATTTCTTAACAGAGGTGCTGGGGATTGAACCCAGGACCTACGCAGTCTGCCACGGAGCTATACCCTCCTCCCACTTTACAGATGCCAGGTTCACTCCTGCCTGCACAGGCTTGTGACTCCACCCACCCATCCCACCCTGCGAGACAGGAGGGTGTCAGGATGAACCCATCCCAGGGACCAGGCTGAGGGCAAAAGTCAGAATGACCTCCCCAAGGTCACACACCCAGGTTGGCCGAGCCCCAGTGTCCATATCTTGCCCACTCACCACCGTGAACCAGGAATGGCTGTGGTGAGCTGAGCTTGGCTACTCACAATGCCCCAGGCGAGGGCAGAAGAGGAACGAGGCAGGTCACCGCCCCATCTCACAGCCAGGTGGGACCACCCTCCCCACACAGGCTGCGAGGTCCCCTTCTGGCCCCTGGGAAGGCTCAGCAGACCGACGTTTGCACCAGGCCAGTCTACCCGGGCAGGGAGTGGCCCTGCCCACACCAACGTGTGCAGGGCCCGGAGGCTCTCCTCCCGGAGGCCTGGCTGGTTCGAGAGTACTGAGCGCCCTCAAAACCACAGGGTCCCCCAGCACCCACTTCTGCCCTCTTCCAGGTGCAAGAAGCAGGCCCTGGTTCCCTCAGGGAAAAAATTTACGAGGTTCAAGCAGAATGGAGCACCTTCTCAGGGCTAACTGCATAAAGCAAAGAAATCAGAATAAAAGTAAGTTCTCTTACTACAGGCCCCAAGTGCCTTTAGTTTTTGAGGAAGCTGACACCAAAACAGTCCATCACTGACCTGCCTTTTCCAGAGCAGCTGAAGATGCTGAGGAACAACTCTAGACAACCAGGAGGGGGCCCGGGAAAGCTCCCAGCCCCTCCTTCAGCTCCCCAGGTCCTCAGACCCACCAGTGCCTGGCTAGCCCTGGCCATGTGGAGCAGCTGATACTCAATTTATCCACTTATATAAAAGAGACACTAGAGCGGTAAGCCGGAGGCCTTGCCCCGCAGCACACCTGGGTCCTGTTCAGTGCGTCCCAGGCTGCATACACGGAGGGGAGCAGGCCACCGTGCCCCCACCTGAAGAGATCCCCATGCCCACTGTGATGGGGGACAAGGGTGCTCCCAGGGCCCTTCCAGGTCAGGGGCCAAGGCCGGCCCCTTCCCCATCACAGGCTTGCCCACCACCTGCCACTGCCCCACCGCCCCCCAGCCATTCCCTTCTCCTCTCTTCCTGCCCAGCTTTCCACCTGTCCTGACACACCCCCTTCCTGCCTAGCCTGGAAAAGGTGTAAGGTAGCTGACCCTGGGGACCCCACCACGCAGGAAAGCAGAAGCTGCTCTGCAATCCCCACCCCCTCAGTATCCCCCAGAAGCCCCGAGGTGGGAGTGTCTCCTTCCTCAACAGCTCTGCAGGGGACTGATGTCCAGGGAGGGTCAGTGAAAGCCAGGACCAGCTGCCTGGGGCAAGGACACTGTCCTGTACTCTGCCATCCCGCTCCCACCAGGACCCAAGATGGTGCACCCTGGAGTCACCCCCAAGGTCATGGAACCAGGGTTCACGTGTTGCATGGGGTGGGCAGACGAGGGGACGGAAAACATGGAGCCGACCAGCTGTCTCTCTGATGTTCTCATAGACCATAGACAGGGGTCCTCTTACATGCAGGTCCATGCCTATCAGCCATCCTAGACCACAGACGACCGAGCAGCTGAGCCCCGCTGTCCTGGGTATGCAGGAGGCACATATGCTGCAGAGCCGTGGCTGCAGGAAGGAAGCCTGGGGTCAGCTTGGGAAGACAGGATTCAGGCACAACTGTCCTTTCTGCATTCCGATGGCTTTCAACTGAACTGCTTCTCGTAGTCAGAAAGAAGGCAGTATGCTATCTCACAAAGCTGATGTATACGTGCACGTCTCTACGTATCTATATACGTACGTACGTAGACATTACAAACTTCTTTTACAGAATAACAGCCTCACCCAAACTCCAGCTCACTCACTGGGCCTGCTTCCCTGGGACCCGGGACTTCTGGCCTCTGCCAAGGGAGCGGTGCTCATTCACATGCATGGGTGGACGTGCCTGGAGAGGTCAAGAGGACCATGTGCCAGGAATTCCATCAAGGTGTGGTCC